TATATATATATATATATATATATATATATATATATATATATATATATTAAGACAGACACCACCACTTTGGTAGCTCAGTAGATTTACAGAGAACATCAATAGTTCAGCCACATTTTGGTAAAGCAGTGTGAACACACCTGACAATATCAGATTTTAATAATACACTGTGCACTTTTGATGAATATGTTGTTGAAATGTAGGTAGAGAGCCTAGACTACATAACCCAAATTGATCAGGTGAAGTTTAAAGGAAAATAAAGTAAATGGATAAATACAGCACCTGAAAAGTAGTGTGTGCTAGAAAGTCCTTAATAAATATCTAGATCTCATAAGTAATTCCTTCTGGTAAAACTACTCTAACACTACTAAAAATATAACAGTAGAAATCTGCTGTGGAAGACTCCAGTCTGTAGGCCAAGCAGCTCTACAGTTCCACATCAAACTTCTGGATAGCACAGAAGAGCCTGGACATGAACACAAATACCAGCTCTTAATACTGTCAAATGCATTCTTAGAAAAATGGAAAGAATATGACCCAATCACACAGGAAGAGGAGGAGTGATCAGGGCTAACAAAGAGCCAAAGGTGAGTGTCCAGGAGCTGCACAGCAGATGCAGGAACATCTGTCAAAGAGCCGCTCTGAGCCGTGCTCTGCACCAGGAACCAGACACGTTTTTACCCATACTAGGGCTGATTCAGGGGGTTTGTCAGTATTGCCGAGCCACCTCTCGCTCAGGTGAGAAACACACACAGCCAGGTGTTTGTCTTCCCTGATCTCCAGAGGTCTCCACTAACTGAACCCAACACATGGGCTCAGGCGGTGACATTTTGGACTGAACGGCTGTGTGATCCCTCACTGCCTCACCGGGGGCTGTCCAGCCCACAGAAACCGCCTCATTTTGGAATCCATCTCATTAACAAAAGCCAGACTGAGTCTATATTCTTCAGGATTGTGCCTGTACCTGCTAAATATGGTTAAATCCCACCAAATATGAGCGTAGCCTTCCATTTCAGCAGCTCTTTCTGCTGTTAGTCAGTGACATGAGCCCCGAGCATCCCTCTCAGAGCAGAGGCTCAGAGAGGGGGAGATGGGAAGTGTTAAACATGATGACAACAACAGCCCAGCACCCACTGCAAAGTGATTCTGGAGGATGTGAACAATTCCCAGCTCCAGCCCAACTCAGAAAAACATCCACACGACACCTCCCTGCAGGAGAAAGAAGCTCCATCCACACCCGGGTTGCGTCTGTTGGACGTTTAGAACATCCAGGAGGCGCCCGGTGGTTCCTCTGTGCACGCAACCCCATCATTCAGACTCAGACTCAGCCTACCTTCCACCGCCAGCACCGAGGGCAGCATCCACACCAGATAAAGCACGTCCATGGCGAGCAGGGTTCTGAGCATCCGTAGTGCAGGGCAGCGGTCCGGCGGCCGGACACTGGCTCAGGCTTCATGGAGGGGCGGCCAGCATCCTCCTGCTCCCTCCTCAGCAGCAGCAGCAGGGATAATGGGCACGGCGCGGCGCGGCACGGCACGGCACGGCGCGGCGCTTCGGCCAGGCTGGGCGGAACCAAGTGACGGGGGCGGGCCGCGCGCCCCCCGGCCGGTGCCCGCGGATCCGGTCCCCACAGCCCAAACTGGAACCAAACTCACCAAAGCTTCCCAGACGCGCGCGCGTTGATGGACCGAGTGTGTGCGTGACTGCAAAGGTGGGATTTTTGGAAAAAAAAAAAGGGGACGTGGACGCGACTGATGGGAGATTTCTGCTGGAGGTTCATTGTGTTGTGCACGTGCGCTCTGTGCGTCAGCACACAGCTTTAAAGGATGACATCCTCACTGGAGAATAAGGACCAACATGGCAGGAGAAAAAAAAACAGAGCTACCGGCTCATTAAATGGTGAAGAGAGAGAAAATAAGAACAGGAAAAAACCTGGAAAGCCACACACACACTGACACAGGGTTTTGAAAGTTTCAGACCACTTATACAAAACCCCCCCACAGAATACAGGGAGGGAATGGTAACAAACCCAGGAAGAGAAAGCTTATACAGAGCCAGCCTCACTGTCTCCAGATCCTGTTTCTGGATTCTACTGGATTCCTTTTCCTAGAATTCGGACCTCCGCTTTTCATTTGATATGGAGAAGGACTCCATTTTGACTCTGTTTAAATCAGCCTTGTTGACTTCTCGGCGTTGTGGCACCAGAGGCCGCTTTCACACACACTAACACACACACTTTCAGCCCATGCACATCATTTCCTCACTCACGTGCACATAAACTACTGAACATGGGGACAGTCGCATAGAATCAGATATTTCAAATTGAACATACTGAGTTCTCTGTAATTAGACGCTATTTTATATAGCAATGTTTAAAAAAACTGTCAATTAAGCTGTCGGGCCATCGACAAGTTTTGCTTTCAAATAAATAAACAGAGCATTCAACCATTTTAAGTCTTTTTTTAGGTCTCCCACAGTTCCTGCTCAGCCTCTTTTCTGTGACATAACCACCGAATGTATGCCGACGGACGGCCAGTGGCCTCTGTGGACAAACGGGAAGGCCCTGAAGTCAGAAGCATTGCTAATGGTTGCCCTCTGTGAGGGCCTGTTGCCCCATAATAACTCACACACGTTATTCTTATCTTTCACAAGAAACGTTCAAATAAAGCATGATAACGTGTTTCTGCATCATAAATGCTTCAGCAGCCAGCATGTCCACAGCTGATCCATCTGAGGCATTTCATAACAGAAAACTGGAGTGGATGGAAGATTCTGAGGTGGGGGGGGGGAAAGGAGGAGGTAATGCGGCGTTAGAGCGAGAGAGGCCCTGGGAAGCATGGAGAGAGAGGGCTCTGAGAGGAAATAGAGCAGAAGAATATGGGCTTGACAAAAAGGAATCCAGCCTGTCTCCAGATGAGTGAGGGCTGCAAAACAACAGATTAGAGGAGCCAGGGGCTTGTTCCCATGGAAACCTTTGCTCGGGGAGACAGCAATGAGAATGCAGCAGATTGTAGGTCAGACGTAGCATCAGCGATCCAATCAGACGTAATCTGTCTTGACTTGTAGGTCAGGGATTCGGCGGTAAAGCTGAGCCCTCCGCGGAGCTGCCTTCCCCGTCGGGGCTCCGCTTCCTGCTGGAGAGCAGAGCAGAGCCCCCGGCCCCCCCGTGCCAAACACTCGCTCCTTTATCACACACATGGACAAAAGACCCTTTAAATGAACAACGCAAGCGTTAAACCTGCTTTTAGCTCTCACAGGAGACGTCCAGAGGCCTGACTCACAGCACGTTTCTCTGGGTGAAACACTGAACCCCAGGATGGCTGCCGACGCTCCACTGGTGTGAGCGGATAAAGAGCCAATAGGGAACCTGGCATGCCGTGTTAAAAAGGCTGTCAGCGGTCAGCTGGGCCCAGAACCAGCTCCCGAGCATTTAGCCAGGCTAAAGCAACCGTCCCTTTGGCGGTTCTCCCTTTTTGAGGCCCACAACTGAAGGCTTAATGGGACAAACGAGCAGTTTGAATGAAACAGCAAAATAAAACAAACATTTTTCAGATTTTTTGACAGTTGTGGGATGTTGTGAAGTGCTCCCCGCTGGCCAGAGGAGCGGGCAGAGCCAGAAAAAACGCTCATCCATCAGGAAACTCCAGTTCTGTTGCAGCCTCTGCTGCAAAGATACCCACCAGGACCTTCCAAAAACCCCGGATCCCCCATTTCTGGAGCTTCTTTAAAAGAAAAACAGCAAATGCAATGAAAAATCAGCATGGCAGGTGGAGACAGGCTGGGTTTAGGGATTCCTGGGATCTCCGCAGCCCTTATGAAACCTCACTAATGTCTGCCATCACAGCTATCATCAGCTATCACTCAGTCTGATGGCACATGTATGATGGAGGATTTTACAGGTTTGTTTCCATACTATCTGAACTTCCTGGCTACACTACGGTAGCCTAAAATATTGTCAAAGTATGTCTAACTCAAACTGTACTGATAAACAAACAAATAAGAACAGAAATGTGTCTTAAACTTAGAATGATAAATTCAACATATAATTTCTATAAATGCGGCTTACATATGTGGAGAGCTGTTTGGATAGCTGTTTTTTATGTCCCAAAAGACCGGAAAAAGACTGATTTACTGTCAGTCGGGACTTATTCTGCTCTGTAGTTAGCAGAAGGAGCCGTGCATGTGTGACCTGGCTCCGTCTGCAGGCTTTAAGACATATGGCACAGTTAGGATAAATATCCTGTGAAGGCCATTCGTTTAGGCATGAACTACAGTTCTCACCAGAGAATACATTTCTGTTTCCGTCGCATATGCTTTGATTCTGAGTTTGAGCCTGACGCTGGAAACTGCTCTGAATGAGACTAATCATTCAGAACGGACTGCAAACGGGACAAATAACGCCACCACTGTTACAGTTATCTCTGTATCTTATTGTGGTCTCTGATGTATGTTTATTTCTAAAGTAAATCAAACCCAGTGTGATCCTGATACTGGCCAGGTGGAGGCAGTAATGCACCATTCCTGGAAATCTTCCTTTCTATCCCCATGGAGGCATTTCCTGTGGATTCAGAAGATATTTGCTACTGTAAGTATATGGTGCAGATAGCTACCATTAAATCACAAAGTGTGCTCCTGTTGGACTTTTCTGTGACAGCGAAAAGCCTTTTTCATGGACTGTAGATATATGAACTCCCTCTGGACCAGACGGGGAAATCCTGAGGTCACCCAAAACAAAGACAAACCGAGAACGCAACTAAAGATTAAACCAATTCAAACTTGGAATATCAACTAAAAAACAAAATATTATATAACAATAAATACCCACTAACCCAAACAATAAACCCCCCAAACTTCCTAAAGCTTCATTCTGGAGATCAGGACCATGAGGACTAGTTTTTATTCACAAGTGATGCAACTGGGACACTGGTCTTAGCAAGTTGGTTTTCTTTACTCTGTTTGACAAAACTCTCCTATTCTCATAATGTGTCACCAAACATGGCCTCTTGTTCATCTACAGGCTGAGAAGCCACTCCAACAAACACAGACACTATAATTAAATATAGGGCTCAAATGTTAGTCTGGTTCAGCAGTAATATGTCAGAATAACTCATAATAATACAATGATAACAATAATATGTAACTGTACAGGAGTGGTCACAGTGGGGGGGGGTAAGGTATTTTGTTTTACCTTCAGTGCTAAGAAGAAACTTGTAGAAGCTACTTTTTTGTCTGTGATTGATTATGGAGATATATTGTACATGCACGCTGCATCCTCCATCTTGCGTCATATTGACTCGGTGTACCATGCATCATTACGATTCACTACAAATTCTAAATCCCTTACTCATCACTGCATTCTTTATGATCTAGTTGGTTGGACATCACTAACAATTCGTAGAAAACAGCACCGGTATATCTTTATCTATAAAGCAATACTTGGTAAACTCCCACCGTACCTCTGTAACCTCCTCTCTGTGAGTTCTGCTAGTTATCAGTTTTTACTTTTTAATGTACCCCAAGCTTCAACTGGGTTGGGGAAAACTGCATTCTCCTACTCTGCACCTTGGGGATGGAATAACCTCCAGAAAGAGCTCAAATAGAAACTCTTGTGTCCATTAATGAATTCAAAGCAACCATGAAGAATGTAGTGCTGGAGATATGTGCTGGTTTTTCTTGAGATGCTCAATGTGTTTTAACACACTGCTCTGATTTTATTATGAAAAATGTAATAAGTTGTAAATATGTATTTTGTTCCTGTGGTTTGGCTGCTACCTTGGCCAGGTCTCTCTTGAAAAAGAGATTCTGAATCTCAATTGGACCTCCTGGTTAAATAAAAGTTAGATAAAAAAATTAAAAAATTGGGATAGAGCCGTAAATAAAATCAAATTGATGTGTTGTGTGGTAGTATGATATTTGTACTATTTCTTCATTTATTTATACATTTATTTCCACCCAGATTAGCTTTTTTTTTGTTAGATAAACAGTATCTTGAAAAATTAGAATCAAATCTACTCACTCAAATTGTTTATTGTGTGGGGAAGCAGGTTCCCTTTCCCCCTCCTTTAACGTCTCAAAAGCTGAAACCCTCCCCACCGGATGTCCAGACGGGGCTGAGCCTGCTCCTTCCCTCGGCGTGGCCGGAGGCCCCTGCAGATTATGATGTCACTCTGAGCCGCGTGCAGGTAGCAGTCAGAGGCTGCTGACCGCTCAGACACCTGCCGATCCCACCACCATGAAGGCTGCTTCTTACCGCCTGCACATGAACACCCAGAAGCTAAAGACAGGAATCTGAGAGAGGCCGGTTCTCCTGATCTGGTGAGGGCTTCTGTTTGTCAGGTTGCCTTTGCTTGTGAAGAGGGTTAAGTGTCACAAACTAGCTAATCATTTTATTAACGAGGCCTCTGTTTTTCTAGAGTTTAACACCCATGAGGAGGCAGGATGAAGGTGAAGTGGACCATGCTGGGAGTCATAGTCTTCTTCCTGCTCTCTGTGGTCCTGACCTGCTGTTTCCTCTGGCAGTTTAAGATGCCAAAGTTGAAGGCGGGTAAGGAGAAGCTGCCTGAAATAGCCTGGCCTTTGCTAACTTGGGTTCCGACCTCGGCTTTTCACAGCCACTTGGGCAGAATTGCTTATTTGCTGGAGCAGCAGCAGGATTACACACCGACTGAAATAGCAGTGGGATTAGCCCCCGTGTGGAAGTCAACTTAATCAGGCCGAAAAGACGGACAGAAGCAAGGCAGTGGACAAAGGTCTGGTTTTGCCCTTAAGGCAGCATTTTACCCCCAAGCTGCCCCTAAGCATCGGATACATTTACAGTCCCTGAAGATGTCAGTGCAGTTTGACTGGACCCCACTCTGTTTTTTAGTTTTAATTTGTAGAGTCGCAGCATGGCTGCTCGTTCATACAGTTGATTAGTGGAATGTGTCCATGTCAGGACAACAAATTCAAATCTGTCTATTGTGCATAAGAAATTTTACTCCTAAATACTTTTTGTTGCATTAAATGGATGCCAGAGTGACCTCTTCCTCACAACTATAATCAGTATTTCATTATCTCGATTAAGATTTGTATAACTAAGCAATAACATTCTTGACATTTAAATATTTTATCCAAAAGTGTCCTGGTCAACAACAACTCGGAATAAAGTACACATGGATATTACAAGAAACAATGCAAATAGCAGAAGTTAAAAATAACATAAGTATGAGACACAAATATCTCCTTAAACTTAAGCTTACAGTTGTATAAAGCTAGAACTGTTTACGTACCCACTATATCTGCTTCCAATGTATTTAAAACTCATTTTACTTGATTTATTTAAGCTGATAATATATGACTTGAACAACAAACCCTCAGGAGTCTCAGCCCATGCCTATGGGCTTTTCTCTGGATTTATGTAGTTTGCTGATTCTGAACTAATTGTCTGTCACATTTATATTTATATATTACATATCCAGAAATGCATTGTTGTCCTCTGTAAAAGGAGACTGTCCAGTAGTCTTTGGTTGATGAGAAGGGTATTAGTCAGTAGTCAGAATGATCTCTAAATTAAGGATGATCTCCAATTAGTGTGGAAGTGAAGACCTTAGCACGGCTATTCTTTACACCCGTGTATTAAAAGCAGGTTTGGGAGAAAGTCAAACAAGAATAGATATTGTAAAGGAATGGATTTGGACAGTGGTCGGCTTGTCGGATGGGCATTCATCTCATTCAGAAGTCAGGCGGGGGGTAGCAGACGCTCCAGATGACTCTGGATTAGCCACAGCCTCTGGTTCTCTGATGGGATTCCCTTTTCTGGGGCCGGTTGCTTTGAAAATCCCAGCAGGTTACTCTGCTCTTCTCCAGACGCGGTGGTGGAGGAGACTGAGCCGGAGCAGATGTGTCCTCGCTTCCCTGAGCCCGTGGCCCTCAAACACCCCATCTCAGCCCTGAGGGCGGCCTTAGAGCAGGTGAAGAGCTTTTCTCTCACCCTCACTCTGTACGGTTCAGATTACCCACCTCCCCGTTATGCTCCCGTACACAGGTAGATGCTCTCCTGAAGTCGAGCGTCCACGCCACCACGCTGCCGGCCGTGTCGGCCATCGTGGTTTTAAACGACTCCGTTCTGTGGAACGGGCATTTCGGCAAGCGGAACATCAGCGACCCGGCCTCGGACCCGCCCGATGAGTTCACGGTTTACAGGTGAGCAGTCTTCAGTCGGTACGCAGGAGGGTGCTGGGCTGGGATGTAGGAGGATGAGTTTGGGTTAGGATTCAGCCTTCACTGTATTAAACCTTCAACAGGACCTGAGATTGATAACAGTGAGACAGCTCTGGGACAGTAGAACCTCTACAGGGGAATTTAATTAGTTCCAGGTCCTACTTCCTATGTAAAAATATTTGTATGTTGTTTCAAATTTTCCATCAGAATACACTGTAATTCCTAGAATTGGTTCCAAAAACCTACGATAACTCCTTAATAAATGGACTATATGAATGCACTATATAAGAGAGACGTAAAAATAAATAAATTATAAAGAAATATGCAATAAAAAGGGGTTTTATTGGCCCTTTAGCTAGAGATAGAGGTGGAGACTGAGATACAGGACCAACCTTAACTTACTCTGACTTTACTACAGGAACTTTACACCAACTTATCTTATTTATTTTTATCTAATTTTGTTATTTTTATTTATCTAATCTTATTTTATGTATATTTTCTATGACTTTGACGTCATACGTATTTTGGAAATTTACTTCAGGTGTAGAGTTGAACATTTGATCAAATTTCACTTCGGATGTTGGGAATTTTGCATTTTAAGGCGATCATAAGTCGAGGTTCTGCTGTAATAATGGTAAACCAGTAAAACTTGGGTGCTAAACCAGGATATTCTTGTCTGATTAGCAGAAACGGGGACGTGTTGCTGACTTTCAGCACTTGTTTTCAGAATTGCGAGTCTTTCCAAGATCTTTCCGACGCTGATGCTGTACAAACTCTGGGAGGACGGAAAGGTGGACTCTCTGGATGACCCTCTGGAGAAATACGCCAGCAACTTCACCATCAAGAACCCTCTGGGGGTGCGCGGGCGGCCGGCCGCCTCCTCCGCCCGCACGCTGGGCAGCCGGCTGCCCGCTCTGAGCCTGCGCAGGCTGGCCAGCCAGCTCTCCGGTAAACCCTCTGCTCTGACCCCAGACACTCAGTGAGAGATGTGACAGCAAAGCATCACAAAGTGTGTGTCTTCAGGATCTGAACACAACACCCATTTAGCCTGTTTGGTTACACTTTTCATACTCTCACAGAAGAGACACAGCTGACCTTTCAAACCATGCATCATTCTGGGTTGATGTCTCAATCCAAGATGGCGGCACAAGCATACCTGTGTCTAATTGTCGTGCGGTCAGCCTGTGGCAGACACACACACCTTCAGTAGCTCTGCAGTCTGAAGCTGGTTTAACCCTTAATTTGAACCTCTTTCTCTGGGGAGAGGGCTGCTCTGATGGGTGGTGTGGTGTTGTTCTCCTGAGCGGTGTATGGATTCATTGGTTTTTATCTTGGTCTGGTCCTCTGAATCTTGCTTATGGGTCCATGTTATCCCTGAACAACTAGATTTCCTGGTGCTCAAAGTGCTAAGCGCTTCAGGCTTCTCAAATGGTTAAAGGCCACCCTTAAGTCTTTTTTGCAGGAAGTTTAAATTGGCACAAGTTCTCTTAAAGATCACTTCAAGGCACTGCTGACTTCCTCTCCTAATTTGACTAACTGCTTAGAAAAGCTTGACTCTGATTGATTTGATTTGAATCAGTGTGCTTTGTGACAGCCTGGGCTGAAAACACCAGCATCTGAAACCACACTCACAAATCATTAGAATATATGAAACCAAGCAAGATTCCCATTTTGATGTGGGATCAGATCCATATATTGTATTTAGTATGAAATGTAGGGGCTCGTGTGCGTTACAAAGTGGACATGGATCCACAAATAAATGGTTTCCACATTCTTCAGAAAATAATTATTTTTTAAATAAGGATTTTACTAGTCTGACTTCACATTCTGAGTAAGTTTGAGATTTTCTTTTTTACAAGTTCTCACATTTTCGGTTTCCACACAAGTCCAGATTCTGGTCATACAACTGCTCATGTTGGGTTGTTCAATATTCAGCTCTACTTACCTACCTCCATCCATCCATCCCTCTGCTGACGTGGTCCTCTTTAGAGTTTTGCTGTCACAGAGGATAACAGCTCCTTTTATCTGAAGAACATTTCAATTCCACCTAACAACAGTCTGTAACTGTCATTAAGCGGGCTGATAAAGGCCGTGACTCCTACTGGAATCAAGCAGAGACAGAACATCATTCATTCAGTCATCCATTCATCCACACAGCTAATTTTTCCTTCTGTTTTACTTCTCAAACTTTTCCAGGGTTACCCAGAAGGTTACGCTCAACCAACCTACTTTGGAACGGAGACACAGAAACAGCCCTGAGTTTGTTACAGGACGATGTCCTCGTGGCAGATCCGGGAACCAAGTAAGATCCAGCTCCATGTGTTCTGGTTTTGGTCCCAAAGCCCCCACCCACAGAGGCAGACGCTCACTGGAGGTTTTAGGAGGACGGTATCTTGTATAATTTGTTCCACAGCCCAAAAACCTACGATATCTCCTTAATAAATATTGCAGATAATTACACACAGCAATACAACAAATTACTTCTAGAGGAGAGATGTAGAAAGAAATAAATGATAAAGAAATAATCAGTATTTCTACTGTTTTTACTGGCACTTTACCTTACCTTTACCTTAGCTCAGAGACTGAATAACGGAGGTGGAGGTAGAGACTGAGATACAGGACGAACCCTAACTTACTCTGACTTTACTACCTGAACTTTAAACTAACTTAATTTATCACTTTTTATTCCTTCGATGTCATACGGTATATGTTGGAAATTTACTTCGGGCGTCGAGTCGAATATTTCATGTTGGAAAATGTGCATGTTTAGGCATCGTAAGTGGAGGTTGTGCTGTACTGTCCTGCTGTCGATCTGCCCACAGATGCCACTACAGCAACGTGGCCTTCTCCTTACTGGCCAACGTCTTGGCCCGGGCGGCGGGCGGCTCGGACTTTGAGAGCTGGGTTTCCGACAACATCCTGGTCCCGCTCCGGATGGAGAACACCGGGTTCGACTTCACCCCGGCGGTGCAGAGGCGGATGGCCGTGGGCGTGTACGCTAACGGCCAGCCGGCGCCCCTCTACGACCTGGGCTGGTACAGGCCGGCCGGTCAGATGTACTCCACGCCGGCCGACATGGCCAAACTGAGCATGGCCCTGCTGGGCGCGGCCGGCGGGCGGCGCCTGCTCCGGCCGGACGCCCTGAGGACCATGCTGACCCCGGTGGCCCGCTGCCACGCCGGCTACTTCGCCAGCTCCACCGGCACGCCCTGGGAGGTCAACCAGCAGCTGGGCTACGACGTGGTGAGGAAGGACGGCGACCTGGACGGCTTCGCCGCCACGCTGGCGCTGGTGCCGCGCCTCCAGCTGGGCCTGGTGCTCCTGATGGCCGGCGTGCGCCCCCCAGAGCGGGAGCTGGTCAGCCAGGCCTACGGATACCTCATCCCCGCTGTAGAGAGCGCCTACCGGGACGCCCAGCCACCGGTCAGACCCCCCCCGGACCCGGCTCCCTACGTGGGCTTCTTCACGTACAAGAACATGACTTTCTACGAGGTGCTGGCCGACTCGGCCGGGGCGCTGACCCTGCAGCAGTTCGGACCGCAGGTGGACACGGCGGTGCCCCCCAAGTACCGGAACATCGGGCTGCACTACCTCCAGGAGCGGGTGTTCAGGGCGGTGTTCCAGAGACCCTACCCCTGCAAGATGAGGACCAGCAGTGCCTCGGCCTCCCTGGAGACACAGGACAGACAGCTCTTCAACTTCTACCCTTTCAACCAGAGGGGCGTGTCCCCCGGGTTCGACTCCCCGGCCCTCAGCACGTACAGAGTCATGAGGATACCCGGCAGGCCGTACTTCACCTCATAAAGACACGCCGGCTGGTCCCGTAGTTCAACTACCTGCTCAGGATTCAAGAGATGTCCTCCAGCAGGACACTCCTAAGAACAACTTTAAAAAGAGCTGATCCACTCAGGACATCCACTATATTATCGAACCAGTGAACCCAGTGTGGAGAGTTCATGTGTACTGGTAGAAATTGGATCTGCCTGGACTCTCAGACACTTTTTAGCCTGAGATCCATGAGATCTGTAAATTGTTTTTTCTTCCTAAAGTTCCTTTCCCCAAAATGGACAAATTAAAACGATCCTATCTTTAAACAATGGTGGTGGTTATTAACTTACCTGTAAAGCAGGGAAAGGGGGGGGGGGGGTCAAACTCTGGTTGCTGAGGGCCATTCTCCCACAGCTTGAGCTGGTTTAACAAATCCGACTGATTAAAGGATTTCTGCAAAAGATTAAGATTTACACAAAAGTGCCAAAGTGGAATTGATGTCCCGCCCTGGAGAGCTGGAGTTTAACACCCCTGCTGCCAGAGGGATCCCCGGGGGAACCAGGACCTTTCTGGGTGGAGGATTCTGGGTTGGAGTCCAAGGGGAACCAGGACCAGAGGGTTCTGGGTTGGAGTCCCGGGGGAACCAGGACCAGAGGGTTCTGGGTTGGAGTCCCGGGGGAACCAGGACCTTTCTGGGTGGTTCTGCATGTTCTCCTGTGTCTGTGGGTTCTCTCCGGGTTCTCCGGCTTCCTCCCACCGACCAAAAACCTGCATGTTAGGTTGGTTGGACTCCAAACTGCCCTTAGTGTGAGTGTGTGTGGTTGTTGGTCCTTGTGTGTCTCTGTGTGTCCCTGTGATGGACTGAGGACCGTCCAGGGTGACCCAGCCTCTCGTCCACTGACTACTGGGATAGGCTCCAGTCCCCCCGGGACCCCATTAGGGAATAAGCGGTTGCAACAATGGATGGATGGACCCCACTACTACCTCTTTTCCTCCACCAAGTGTTTTATGAGAGAAAAACCTAACCCTAAAGTGTGGGTGACAGCACCTTCTGGTATCTGCTTTACGGAAGGGTATGCAGAGGAGTTTACATGCTACTGTCCTCTGGATGTGGACGGTCTAGCAGAGACCAGGTTTGATCTGGAGCGTCTTTTAGCACGGGGTTGTTAAAGAAATGGGAAATGTTTGGTCAACATTTTATTATGACTCAATCAACAGCCAAAACAGGTTCCAGAAAAGTGCTTGTAAGCTGGTAAGTGTTGGAAAATCTAACACGGTGTCTCACCAGGGGGACCGGAGCATTAGCGTTCCATGTCACCACTTCATTTAAAGGACACATTTAGTCATTCTCCGACATAATCTTCATGGCACTGGAAAACGTTGTCCCACTCATGATAACAGTGAGTTTGTTAGCAGCAGGCTTTCCCTCGAAATCCAACAAAAGCAAATGCAGATGTGGGAGTTGAAATTCTTCTGATTTGCCCTTAGTGTGAATCAGCCTTTGACAAAGGCCCACGGTGACAGAGACACTATGCCTTCTGAATCATGACCTGGAATTTACCTGCAGAGGGAATGGAGAGAGAAGACACACATCTGAACCTTAGCGAGGAATACAAAAGAAACTAAAGCACACCTTCTTTGTCTTTTACTGAATCTTTCTGAAAACTTTTCTTAGCTGCTGGAAAACCATCAGTAGAATTTAAAAATGGGCTGAATCGAGGTGAAACTCTCTAGGCCTCTGATTGGACCAGAGGCTGGTTCCAAAGGCACTAAACTCTCAGACTGAACGGTGTTGGGATGAGGAGGGTCTTACAGGCCGGCATCACAGACACCTCCACCGTCACGATGCTCTTCACCCCCAGGCTGGACAGAGCTCCTCTCACCAGACCACAGGTGAAGGCCACGTACTGGACACAGAGAGAGAGAGAGAGAGAGAGAGAG